TCTGCCACAACCGAAACAACTTTATGCCGTTATTGTTGAGGTGGCCAGGACCTTTCATTGTGATCCCCCATTTTGCACTTTTCAGTGTTTGCTCTGAAACCGCAGTGGTTCTGAAACGCCTATGTGAGTGATGGATTCTGTAATCGGTATTTCGCACAGAGCATCTCTCATTCTCATGGAAGAACTCAAATTCTGCCTACAAATCGGGAGCTTGGACATGTAGTTAGGTCAAAGCGTTAGTCCACTGTATTTTCAATCAGATGGTGTCATCTAAATGATTTAAACGTCAGAAACGCCAACATCGGAGTGAGCGCGTGTCGTGATGCAGACTCCTGAGTAGAATAGCTTCCACTTTCTAAGGCTCAGAATTCCGAGCGATGGCGCTTCGTTGATAAGGGTCCAAGTATATCCAATAGGTGTCTTCCAGCACCCTCAACCGGTTGCAGCTGCAGTCTTTACTCTCTGAGTGAAGAGATGTTCCAATTTTTGACTGCTGGCATCGTTCCCATGGAACACTATCTGATGTGTTGTAATGGATCTGTCGATTTCTAAAAACAGCGATACACAAACAATGTTATTTGCCACTTTTTAGAGCTTGACCACGCCAGCATTCCTTTGCAGAAACCTAACTAGTTGTCCAGAGCATCGCAAGGTTACGGTAGGTACGTAGACCTGGGGACAGGTAGCTTCGCAAAATTGCACCGATTCTTCTTCATCGTCACACACCGTATCTCTCACATAACGGCATTCAACGAGCCATTCAATGGATGCTTCTTAATGTTCTACTAGCTAAATAGCCCCTATCCCCCACCCTCTGTGTGCGTGCAACAGTCAAAACGGTTGTGCGTTCTTACTTGGGAAAAGTATCAGTTTAGATCTAATACTCTCGAGCAGTGGCGAAGCATGAAATGGGCACATGAAGTTCTACAGAGGGTGCAAATCGTCTGGTTCTTTGTCACGGTGACCTATCAGTCTGCGCGGGACAAAACGTGCAGCATTTTGAAAAAAAGAAACTGACTGGCAAGAAGAATATAGGAAGCTCTCATTCACCAGTCGACGAAGACACAGCAATGATGATTCAGATGAACTGGAGCAACTTAACCAAACGAAGATGGAAAAAACTGTACAAAAATTAAACTGGGAAAAACATAGTTAAATACGGTGAACATAAGTGAAGACTCGTACTGCACAACCAGCTGAAATACAGCTCGAAGCAGTTCAAGTGTAGTGAAAATGCTGTTTGTTAGCGTAGTCGATGGAAACCGTACGAAGGGAATTCTTAACTTTCAGTTGCTGGTCATTATATAAGTACAAACGAGTGATCGGCCAGTTGCTAATCAGACCTAGTTTCGGGAGCCTTGTACCTAATGACGTTTCGGCACATTTTTTAGCCAAGAGTTTGAGTAGTATGCTCTTGCGCTACCTCTACCGATCAGTGTGGCAATTAGTCTACATCGATATGGACTAAAAGACAGTTGCGGATCAGGCCACACTGGTAACGCCGCTGTTTTATTGAATTATTATTAAACCTAACTTCGTACCTAAGCCTCAGCATTGTTGCTGGCATGCCTAACTGAACGCTAATGGAATGATTCATTTTTTAAAGCAGTACTTATTAAAATATTATAATATGTCTTCTGGAACAAAATACTGTTTTGAACTTAAATTTTATACGTAGTTTATTGAAATACATGGGTATTCTATTTTAATCTATAGTTAAAATAAATCAAAAATGGATGGACTAGCGAGCAACCGTTGTACAATCGGAAGCAAGATCAGCATTGATCCTGAATCTCATGGTGGTGAACCATCTGTAGGATAGACCCAGATTGGCATATTAATCCCTCTTTTTAATAACAAGCCGCATTGAAACAGGGTTCGTGGCATTTGTTCTGAAGCGGAAGTAATTTTCTCGGGTGTGAACAAAAAAGTGGAGTAGAAAGAAAGGATCGAAGGTAGTTATGAATTTTACGGCCTAATTCTCAGTACTATCTGTTTCAAGCTGAAAGCGTATGTCTCATATCCCTCTTGTCATCATTCCAGTTGTTGGAGAGAGTTTGTTTCCTTCCGCTTGAAACTTTTTTGGAAAACACAATATACGTTGCGCTCAGGCTTTGATGTTAATGGAAGCATCGGTAGTAATGAGGCAAAAAACCACACACTGCAGATTTGGACTGAAGGGCAAGTTGACACATCCAGGTGGTTTTTCTGATCTCCGGTTGGATGCCTTCGGATTTTCATAAAAAACCAAATTGAGTAGCAGACGGATAGTCGCAATTGCTTTTGATGCGCACCACCGAGAATAATAAATAGACCACATTTTGGGAAACATCTTTAATTTACTCTTTCGTACAAAAGGGCTGTTATTGTTAATGGAAAAAACGAGTAATTACGACGAACATGCATTTAGAAAAATTCAAAAAACACTAAGTGGAAAGCAATTAGACTAGTGGGATGGCATTAACCTCCCTGCCAAACGGAAATAGAAATGGTCAAAATATTGATCCTTCAAAGACAAATGGTCGCCACTGAGTCAGACTTGGCTCTTCGTGTGGAGTACGGAAATAAAATGAATGACGGATTTTCTTTGGTAG